ATAGAGCTATCATATGACACAGCAATTTCAGTCCTAGAGTATACCCAAAGGACACATAAACATTAATTTGAAAGGAAACCTGCACAATAAATCCTATTTATTGCAGCTCTATTTACAATAGCTAAGATACAGAAGCAACAGATGACTGGATCAACAAGACTACCACTAGGCAATCAAAAAAGATAAACTCATGCCATTTGCAGCAACAATGATGGAGCTGGAAGGGATTATGATCAGTCACTTAAAGGAGGCATATAAAGAAACTAAACCGGGTTTGAAAAAAAAAAGCTACCAGGCAAACTATAAATAGGAGACATACATCAGGGCAGGAGGAGGGAGAGGGATCAAAACAGGGGAAGGAATGGCACAAGAGACTATGGTGATGGTTCACAGGTGACTTGATGGTGGGAGTTTTATGGGGATTATACCTGACAGGAGAAATCAAACATTGCACAAAAATTAACTATGATGTAAATATATGTATATATGAATATACTAAATTAAAAATAAATAAATTTTAAATGCAATATCCCATAAAACATTACAGTAAAAGATAACACAAATTCTTAACTCTCACAGTAATGAAGTTCTTGTTTTGTTACTATCTATGATACAAAACACAGAACCTATAAAAGACAGATAAGATGAACAACAGGAAAACTGTGTCTGCTTATCAAAAAAACAAAATCCTTCTACATAAAAAAGCTGAAAGACTAATGTCAAGTTAAAAGAAAAATAACTATAATGTATATGATTGAGAAGTTATTTTATCATTTCTACAGTTAGTGCAAATCATTAAGATAAAGACTAACAATCCAAGAGAAGAAAGGTCAAAAGTCATTTCATACATAATAAAACAAAAGTGGTTCTTAAACATAAGGAATGATTCCAAATCCTTATTATAGTAAGAGTAATGCAAATTAAAATGATAAACACACTTTTTCCCACTTTTCATTTGGTCAAGACCAATACCAAGGGAAAGGTAGGAAAATAAGCACTTTATGCACTGTTGGTGGAACTGTAAAATTATGCCATTTGAAAAAGTCTTCACAAATTAAAGAGGCCCATATCCTCTGATTTACTAATAGTACTTACAGTCATTTAACCTGTCACTCTACCTCAGACATGTAGAAATGCTGCAATACTGTTTGAAGTAACCAAAGAGTCTAGGAGTAACCTAGATGTCCAACCAAAGGCACTCACTGAATGGTCTCTCTCAATAGAAGAATGATGTACTCACCAATCTCCAATATACATTTTTTTTTTTTTTTGACCAGAGACATCTTAATTTTCCCCTTATTTATTTTTCTATTAGCACTGATGTGCCCGCTAGTGCTCTGGATGCTGGGATATGGAAGGTCAAGGTTCCTAACCTTAGAGCTCACAGCAGACGGATGTTAGCATCAAGATGTCAGCAGCCAGGAATGACCTATAAGGGACAGATACTAGGAGCTGACAGGGCACCTCACTCAGATTTTTTAAAAAAAAATTTTTTTTTTCTAACATTGGTTTACACCATTGTACATTATTCAGAAATATAGAATCCCAACTCTTCAGGTGTCTGTTACCATACCATATCTGCCGTCGAGGCACTAATAATCCACCATAGTACAGTAGATCCATTCCTCCCTTTTCATCTCACCCTTTCTCCCCGCTCTGATACCTTCAGTTTTACAGTCAGATTTCCACAATCAGATTGTTGTTACTTTAGTGTTATCTGACTCTTCATTTCATTTCTCTATATTCTATGTTTATCTTTTTCCTTAAGACTTATTTCGCTTAGCATTATATCCTCTAGTTCTATCCATGCTGTAAAAATGGCAAGAGTTCAGCTGTTTGTTTGTTTTATTTTATTTTTTGTAATAGTTGGATTTGTGTATATATAGACCACATTTTTCTGATCCACTCTGTCCTTGGGTACTTAAATTGTTTCCCTAACTTGGCTATTATAAATATTACTGCAACGAACACAGGCATGCATGTATCCCTTTGAATTGTGAACTGGTGTTTTTAGATTCCTTGGATAGATACCTAGGAGTATAGCTGGTGGATGAAGATAGAATAAGCTAAAAATATAAGCTGCTATAGTGTATTGATATATTAGACAAAACTACGATATGCCACAAATATTAAATACTCTCAATCTTACTGGGTTTTATTGTTTCCAGAAAGGGCTTCAAATAAAGCAGCCAAAAAAGCACAAGTAATTACAGTAACAAGATCCTGGACAGGAGGAGCACTGTCAGGATAGGAGCAAATCTCTCATTCATTCCTTATCAAAGTTCTACCCAGGCTGTAAGAGGTGATGGAGGTAGTTCAAAATCTAGCAGGAGAAGTCAAAAAATAAGCAAATGAATAAAGAGCGATATACTTCAATATGTGTGATTGTGGAAAAACAAAATAGGAAAGGAAAATAAAGGTTACAGAGAGGCACAGTGTCCAATTTTAGACGTGAAACCTAAAGAACATCTCTTTAGAAGGAAAAGTCTGAGTAAAGGCCTACTGGTGATAAGAATGTAGTAAATCGCACAGATATGTGATGGGTTGGGATACAGCATCCTAGCAGCAGGAGCAGCAAGAACCAGGCCTGAAAGTGAGAGTGGTGTGGAATGTTTGAAGATTGGTGGACCAGAGTAGATTCTAGGGTGGTCAAATGGAGCTGCAAGGAGAGATCCCAGAGCTCTGGAGAGCTTTGACTGAATGGGATGAGCAGCTCCTGGGAAATATGGAGCCATAAATCAATATGATAAATTGAATATGCATATTTTCACACTTCTTGACACCTTAAGCAGGGACAAAGTGAAGGCAAAGAAAGAAGTAGGACATATTGGAAGATATCATTGTAGTAATACAGAAGAGAGATGATGACTACCTAGAAAGGTAATCTACTAGAAGTAACAAGAAGTGTTATCTCAAGTAACAAGGAGTGACGGACTCTTATGTGGATTCGGAAGTGGCACTGCCAGGATTTCCCTTGTGTAGGAGAAGGATTATCAGCAAAGGAGGATTTGAGAACATAGGAAAAACTGCAAGAAGGCCGTTTCCTTTCCTGAGAAGGGGAAAAGTATGGGAAGGAGGACAGGGTGTGTGTTTGTGTAGTGGTGGGGAGGGTAGCAAGAACTTGATCCTGACTTCATATCAGCACCTGGGGGAGAGTTGCGGTAGGCAGTAAGGAACTCAGCTCTGTGGCTCAGGCAGCATCTTGGGCTGTAGACAGTTTGGGAGTTATTAGTGTGCCGTAGGTATTTAAAGCTACAAGATGAGAGAAAATCATCAAGAGGGTGGGGAGTGAAGGAGAAGAGAGAAAAGAGAAGAGGTCTACAAATGAACCTGCAGCACTTCAGTACTGAGAAGCCATAGCAAGATATAAACCTGGGTGCAGAGGAAACAGGAAATAAACCAGAAGTGAGCACTGTGCAGGAAAATGTGACTTGCACATGAGTGACCACAGGAGAAGCCATGTGGAGGTCATTGCTGACATGGGGAGTGAGATGTGGGTAGAGTACTGGAGCCAAGCATGAATGAAATAGGCTCAGGAAAGAGAGGGAGGAGGAGGAGAGAGGGAAGAACAAATTGAAAGGAGAGAGAGAGGAACAGTGTCTCTTCAACTTTAAGGCATTTTGCTGTCAAGCAATGAAGAGTGAACCAGTAAGAAGGGATGTGTACAGTTATGATGAATTTTTAACATTTGCTAATGAGTGAAAAATAATGGTAGGACTGTACAATGACAGGAAATTTCAGAGAATTAATGGCACTATATTCTGGAGTATGCTACACAGAATGACAATCATTTGAGCATTATTCCTAATATCCTCAAACTGAACCTATAAGAACGTCTGTCAACTGAAGAATAAATGAAGAACATAAATTAATACAATGGAATACTATGTACTGATGGAAATGAACAAACTGCTAAATGCAACCAAACTGGTGAATCTTACAAGCATAATATTAAGTCCAGGTAGCTACAGTATAGAAAAATTTCCAGAATTAGTTTTTAGGAAGTCCTCAAATATTCAAAGGACTCTATTATATCAGAAGTCAGGATCATGATCACCAGGGGCAAGAGGGAGGGAAGAAGTGGGAGCGAGATAGGATGGTTCCCGGTATAGCCTGCATTCTATTTCTTGGCTTGGATATGAATGATGTATTCATTTTGTGTACTTGTTTATATGGATACTTATAGCCCATGTATGATACTGTATGTATCTTATATTATTCAATAAAAAGGTATTAAAAATGTTTAATAAAAATGTAAAAAATTAAGTGATGAAAGTTATCCGCCAATATCCTGTCTATTAGTGGAAGAGTTTAAGAAGAGACCGATGTCACAAGAGTGTGGACACAATAAAAGAACCTCCTCTAGGAGGGAAGTTTAACGTAAAAGACTTGTAAGTTGATTTGAAATCTAAGAACTTAACACATGGACACAACTTTTAAAAATTGACAATAAAATTAAAAGCTCTTAAAACTAAACTTTCCCTCAAAAGTAATATTTTCCACTTTGTGGTAAAAATGTCTCATGCAGAAAAAAGCAAGCATAAAATCATTCACAACATTTCTGATATACTAATGAACCCTTAATGTCACATCCTATTATGTTTTAATTCATGCTTTTTATCCCCTCAAAGTGATTAGCAAAGAAATAGAACGCTGTCACATAATGACAATATGAGCCTCCTACTACAACATTCTAAGAAGGATAGAAACAAAAACAGCCACATCTTATAACAACACACCACTTGGGTAGGAGTCTTGATGATGGATGTTGTTTCTCCCTGCCCCATGCCAAATTATCAAAAATGGGCTGCCAGAATTATAAACAAGTCATCAAGGAGAGTTCAGTGCTTCTATTAAAAAAAAAAAAATCTATGTCAAATACTGGCTACTTTCCGTGGGATTTCACTATAATAAGGCAACAAAGTGCTCTTGACAAAAATATCTTTTGAGACAAACTTTTAGTTGGTTACTGATTGGTGGAAGCAGTTATTTGAACTCACCAGGGAGGGTAAATATGGATGATGTCTTGAGGATGGCCCCTGAGGTAGCCTGCTGTCTCCTTGGTGAAAAGCACCTTCAGGCCAGTTCTGGGGGCCTCACATTGGGAAGAGCTGTCAGTCTGTAGCTCCACTAACTGCTCACACATGGCAACTTGGATAGAGCATTCTTCGTGCAGCTCAAGAATTCTCACCATTAATAAACCAGATTTTCTGCCTAGAAAGTGAAGAAAAAAAAAGAGCAAAAGAATCTAAAAATCGTATGGTCCAAATGCGACTGCAGTGTCATTAAAAAAAAAAAGTCATGAAGTTTCAGGTTCAGATAGCTTTCTTTCTTCATGTGGAGATGGCAGTCTGTATACTCTGCTAAAGAAAATTAGAGAACTGCATATACTCATCATAACACCATTTTAAAAATCGAAGTAGCCTGTCAGTTACATGAAATACATGTAGTTTAAGCAACATAAAAGAATAATCTTCCATCATAAATAGTCATGAGCATATGGAAAACTTAGACCTATCATTTCACAGATTATGTGTTTAACACAGTGAACTCTTCAGATAAACTCAACAAAGGAAGTAAAGTCACCTGTTGTTCCTTCTTCTTTTACCTGTTGTTGCTCCTTCTTTCTCATATGCCTGCTGCACTTCATTACTTGCTTTGATTCTCTGTTTTGAAATGATACAGTCTGACTGGCTAGTTGCAAATGCTCTAGTGACTAATGTGGACTGCTAGACTGATGTGGAATGCTAGGTGATAGAGTATTAAATTTATTTATTTTATTCTTTTTCATTTTTTTCTTTTAACATTTACCATTTTTTACATTTTTTAGACAATATTTGCTTCCCCCCACCCCCTCAGATTGAGTCCCCATAGAATCTCCTTCCCCAAGGCACCCATGCACCATCACCACAGTCCCCTGTGCTCCTCCCTCCATCCCTCTCACCCATCTCCCACCTCCTCCCCTACAGTATGTCTCTGGTTTATAATTGTCTGTTTTTGCTTTGCTGTGGTTTGTATTGTTAGTATTATTTTTTTTTTCACACTGATGTCTTATTTGGTTCCCCTATATTCCTGTTATAAGTGAAACCATCTGATATTTTTCTTTTTCCTTCTGGCTTATTTCACTGAGCATAATTCCTTCTAGCTCAATCCATGTTTCTGTGAATGACATGAGTTTATCTTTTTTTGATTGCTGAACAATATTCCATTGTGTATATATACCACATGTTCTTGATCCAGTCTTTATCTTTTTTTCATTGCTGAACAATATTCCATTGTGTATATATACCACATGTTCTTGATCCAGTCATCTATTTTTGGGCATTTGGGTTGTTTCCAGGTTTTACCTATTGTAAATAGTGCTCCAATAAATATAGGTGTATAGGTGCTCTTTTGAATCACTGTTTTTGTGTCCTTTGGATAGATCCCTAAGAGTGGAATTGCTGGATCATATGGTAGCTCAATTTTTAGTAGACTGAGGAACCTCCAGACAGCTTTCCACAATGGTTGGACCAGTTTGCACTCCCACTAGCAATGCAGGAGAGCTCCTTTCCACCAGCAATGCAGCAGAGTTCCTTTTTCACTGCATCCTCGCCAACACTTGTTGTTGCTTGTTTTTTTTGACATGAGCCATTCTTACTGGTGTAAGGTGGTATCTCAGTGTGGTTTTGATTTGAATTTCCCTGATGATAAGGGATGTTGAACATTTTTTCATATGCCTGTTGGCCATTTGCATTTCCTCTTTGGAGAAATGTCTTTTGAGTTGTTCTGCTCATTTCTTGACTGGATTGTTTGTTTTTGTTGAGCCCTGTGAGTTCTTTGAATATCTTTGTGATCAGTCCCTTATCAGCTGGATGGAGCACAAAGACTTTTTCCCAGTCAGTGGGGTGTTTCTCTGTTTTGGTTAATGTCTATTTTTCTGTGCAGAAACTTTTCAGTTTCATGTAATCCCAGGTGCTTATCTTCGCCTTCACTATCACTGCTTTGGGTGACCAGTCTTTAAAGATGTTTTTGAGATGTATGTCTTGTAGTGTTTAACCTACATTTTCTTCTATATGTTTTATGGTTTCAGGTCTTATGTCCAGTTCTTTTATCCATTTTGAGTTGATTTTTGTGCATGGTGACAGGTAGTGGTCTAGTTTCATTTTTTTGCACGTGGAGGTCCAGTTTTCCCAACACCATTTATTGAACAAACTCCCTGTGTTCCATTGCATATTCTTTGCTCCTTTGTCAAAGATTAGTTGTTCATATAAGTGTGGCTTTATTTCTGGGCTCTCTATTCAGTTCCATTGGTCTGTGAGTATGTTTTGGTTCCAATACCAAACTGTTTTAATTATTATGGCTTTGTAGTATAGCTTGAAGTTTGGAAGTGTGACACCTCCTTTCTCCTTTGTTTTCATCAGTAGGGCTTTAGGTATTTGTGTATTTTTGTGGTTCCATATGAATTTTATCAGTGTTTTTTTTCTATTTCTTTGAAGAATGTCATTGGGATTTTTATTGGAATAGCACTGAATCTATATATTGCTTTTGGGAAGATGCCCATTTTAATAATGTTGATTCTTCCAATCCATGAGCAGGGGATGTCGTTCCACTTCTTTGTGTCTTCTTCAATTTCTTTTAAAAGTGTTTTATAGTTTTCTTTGTATAGGTCTTTCACCTCTTTTGTTAGGTTTATTCCCAATTATTTGATTTTTTTTGTTTCAATTATAAAAGGGATGGTTTTTTTGATTTCTTCTTCTTCCGATGGGCTGTTTGTGTATAGGAAGGCTACTAATTTTTGCATGTTGATTTTGTATCCTGCTACTTTACTGAACTGGTTGATTATATTGAGTAGTTTTTCTGTGGAGTTTTTAGGGTTCTCTATGTATATCGTCATATCATCTTCAAATAGTGATAGTTTTACTTCTTTCCCTGTCTGGATTCCTTGAATGTTTTTCTTTTGTCTTATTGCCCAGGCTTGGACCTCCAGTATTATATTGAAGAGCAGTGGTGAGAGAGGACATCCTTGCCTTGTTCCTGATCTTAAAGGAAAGGCCTTCAGCTTTTCACCATTGAGAATAATGTCGGCAGTGGGTTTGTCGCATATGGCTTTTATCATGTTAAGGTATGTTCCTTCTATCCCGAGAATTTCAAGTGCCTTGATCATAAATGGATGTTGGACTTTATCGAATGCTTTCTCAGCATCTATTGATATGATCATATGGTTTTTGTTTTTCTTTTTGTTAATGTGTTGGATTACACTTACTGATTTTCGTATGTTGAACCATCCTTGTACCCCTGGGATGAATCCCACTTGATTGTGGTTTACTATCCTTTTGATGCATTGTTGGATTCTGTTGGTAAGGGTTTTGTTGAGGATTTTTGCATCAGTGTTCATTAGGGACATTGGCCTGTAATTTTTCTTTTTTTGTGCTGTCTTTGTTTGGTTTTGGTATTAGTGTAATGTTGACTTTGTAGAACATATTTGGTAGTATTCCTTCTTTTTCAATTTTTTTGAAAGAGTTTGTGTTGGATAGGCACTAATTCACTGCTGAACATTTGGTAGAATTCATTTGTGAAACTGTCTGGACCTGGATTTTTGTTTTTGGGGAGTGCTTTGATTACTGCCTCAATTTTGCTGCTTGTAATTGGTCTGTTTAGTTGTTCTATTTCTTCCTTTACCAGCTTTGATGATTATATCTTTCTAGGAATTTGTCCATCTCTCTAGGTTGTTGAGTTTTTTTCCATATAAATGTTCATAGGAATCTCTGATTATTCTTTTGATTTCTACCGAGTCTGTTGTGATTTCTCCTCTTTCATTTATAATCCTATTTATATGTGTTTTCTCCTGTTTTTTCTTTGTGAGCCTTGCTAAAGGTTTGTCTATTTTGTTTATTTTTTCAAAGAACCAGCTTTCGGTTTCATTGATCCTTTGGATTGTTTTTTTAATTTCCAATTCATTAATTCCTGAATGAATGTTGTAGGACATTCATTTTTTTTTTTAATTAAAAGACACAGTAATAGAAAAACATTAGTATACTCACAACCTAGAATAAATAACACATGTTAATTTTTGGTCTTTTTCTTCACATACTTTTATAACAGAAATAAAGTATCAATAAGTTTGAAATCCCCTGGCTTCCCTACAACGTGAATGAAACTTGAATCCTTAAGACAATTATGTTAAGGGAAAAAAAATCAGTCACAAAAACAAACAAACAAACAAACAAACATGTATACATGTATGATTCCGATTATGGAAAGTGTCCAGAATAGGCAAATCTATAAAAACAAAGTATTTTAGTGACTGAGTTTGGGGTTGGAGGAGAAAATAATGACTAAAGAAAATAAGGTTTCTCTTTGTGATGAGGAAAATGTTCTAAAATTAACTGTGGTGATGAGTTGCACACATCTATTAATATACACATGAATTCAAAGCTTTAAATTGGTGAATTGCATTATATGTGAATTATATCACAATAAAGTGTGGTCAGTGAGTAAATGATATTTGAAAAAAAAATGAATGACACAATAAAACTGTTTTGCATAGTACCTTGTTAATAAGACATCCACTGATTTGAATTTCTTTACCACTTTAGCCAACTAGTTAATAGTGATTAATAAAAATTAATATTTAAATACTGTAAAGACTTAAGCTTGTAATTTAGTTTCCATTTCTTTCTCCTACTTACTTTCTCTTCAACAATTTCCCACTCATTCTCAAATTTCTCATCCCTCCTTTGTCTCAGTGCCAAAAGCATGTGGTTCTCTATTAAGAAAGGCCACATACCTCCTGAAAGCTACTTTTTCTTACTATTTTCTAAATAGGAACTACTACTATTTCCTAAGGCATATATCTATCTTGCATCTATTTCTTAAGGGAAGAAAGCAGACATAATAGAGGAAAGACATGAACAGGCAGTGTTAAGTTGGTATTAATTACTATGTGTGAGAAATGAGGAAGTCAAAACAGGTATTAAAGAAAAGGACTGATGAAGAAGTGAGTAAGTCTCTGCCACAACAGGATAAATGCAGATCACTTTGGAATACACACCAGTTTTCCTAAGTAGGGTGACCAGTGAAATAGGTAGAGAATTAGGGTCATCAGCAGCTAAGGGAAAGGTCTAAAGTTTATGGGCTATAGTTGGTACAAGAGATTAAATCTTAATATTTAAAAAATTTTTAGAACAGAAATGCACTCAGGTTCACCACCAGCAATACAGCAGGCTTGCCAC